ATGGTGCTTAAAATATACAATCACGCAAAAATATACAAATCTCACAAAAATATACAAATCACACAAAAATAACACAAGAATAAAGTACTTTTAAAAATATAAATAAATAAATAAAGATAAGAAAAGTTAAGAAGACTGTACAGAAGACGGGAGTGCATTAATATAATGCATATATATAGGGTGGGTATAGGTAAGTGAAATGTCTCATCAACTATTGGATGGATTTTTGTTTTGTTCCACTGGATAAATTGTAACTTTCCATCTCAATCAACAGGGTAATCTTTCAATATGTCAAATACTTTGGTTTATCACTAAACAAATTAAAAACTAATGGCATTCCCATCAGCCTCAGCTGTACTTTGTGTTTAGTGCTATTAAGTAAATGTTACAATGCTAAACTAAATTTGTCAACATGTTCTACATTAAACTTGCTTAATGTCAGTTTGTTAGCTTTATCACTGTGAGACTTTTAGCATTTACCTCAGCCTCACAGCGCTGCTACCATGGCTGTAGACTCTTGTCAAAGATGTACATCTCAAGTAAATAAGAATGGAATTGAATATTTGCTTTACTATGATTTTAAGCGATTCCAGGTAGTGCGATTTTAATCCACTGTGTTGTTGTTCTTGCTATTTTATGTTATTCCTCATGGTACTGGATTTCTCCACAATTACTTAACACTTTAAAATAGTTACTGATTAACTTTCTGTTGATTGACCCTTCGATTTATTGAGACACATTTTCTGAGGCAACAGCATAACAGCTTTCATGTTATAAGTCACATTAAGGTAAATTCATCAATGCTTCACATTCCTTCTCTTATTTGGTGGCACTAAACTGCTCACTACTACACATTTATCTACAGTCACCAAGTTATCAAACAAATGTAATCTCATGTAACCAAATTCAATCTATTGCCATAATGTATTTTTATAATAACTTGTTAAATGTGCTTGCTTGCTATATTTTTTTGTTTCTTTATCAATCTACCTCTCCACACATCATCTATAAACACACTATTGTCCTATTGTCTTAAATCTTGTTCGTGTCAGACTTTTATCACTCGATGATTGAAGTGTCTTTCTCACACTGTTTTATGCTCTTTGCTTCTATGTTGATAAGAGAAGTTTGTTCTGATAACAGCATCTTTATATGACATTTGTGTAAGTGAATTTTAAGTTTGCTTTCTGTAGAATGTGAAATTTGACTATTTTGTCATCTCTTGTGCTGTGCACATGGAGAGCAACATGTGAAAGATCACAAACACATGTGTTTCTTTAATAAACTCACAATCAACACCAAAACCCACAACATTATTACGCTGTGTGATTCTACTACACAAAACAAACATTTATACTCATTTGGCCACATGTTCAACATCTCCAAACAAAACTTATGTCTTTCCAGTACAGTACATCATCAGCTTCCTGTCTGGCCACCACCTTACAGGGTCATAAATCTCTTAAACAAACACACATGTATGATGTTGTATGAGCACGGTTGGCTTGGGGCACATAGCCATTTAGTCCCATTACAGTTTCATGTGAAGAGGCTTTCCATCGCAACACACCCTGGCATTTTATCAGGAAGAGCAAATAGTAATGTGTTAGAAGGAACAAGACTCTTTGTTTTATTGTCTCATCATGTCTGTTTAATAGCAACTGAACGCCGTTAACAGTGGCTGTTATTGTTAGTCTGTGAAAATGGGTCCAACTAAGCACTTTCCCCTCCACATGAAGGTAGATAAGAGAACTGTTTTAATGGAGGCCTTCAAGTCAACTCACAGAGCACCCAAGCAGGCCTGTGAACGTGTAGGCCACACACACACTCACACACACACACATAAAAGATAAGGGTTGAAGTAAGAAGAACGCATTTTTAAGCATAACCTCAAATTTTCTGATGTAGGTTTTTTTGTGAATCTTCATGAGTGTCTGAACCCCTCGACCCCAATACAATAAGACAATAATTGTTCAAACCCAGAGAACTGTATTTCAAAGATCAACAAGTTTCTACAGATACAATATATGCCAGGTTGAATTACAGGGAAAAGTATATCAATGGATGCATATGACATGTGGAATTTAGTATTTATTGTAGCCATAAACCACTGCCCTTTTAAATCTAAGCGCATCACTCAATGTACATGTGATATATCTGGAACAAGCAGATACAGAATATATATGTTAGTGTCATTTTTCAGATTATTCTGAAGGTTTAGCATTTTCCTTTTTGAATCTCTATACTAACAAAGTCAGAAATTCCCAATTACTACACTTAGGGGCTTCAAGTATTTTGATGATGTTTACATTGATAGTCAGCGAATACATATGAAGAAAAAACATGCATATTAATGTCCAAAAACAGTCCCCACAAGTTACACTATTTATTACTGTTGCTAAAAACTACAGCTCCCAGTTGTTTATGGGAATGCCTTTTTGAAAATGAAACTATTTGTGTCCTTTTTTTAAAGATTGACATCTACAGTCGGAACAAAAAGGCTTGGGGCAAAGTGACAGATTATGGAAATCAGAAATAATTGAGAAACATACTAACAGATTTTGGTCTTTTCATGGGATTTGTTGACCGTGCGTAACAAAAAAAGTCAGCCTTACCCATTGAATAAAGGTTAAAGCCTTAGGACCCTGTCTGCTGGGATTACAGGAGACATTGAGGTCAGATAAAGAGGCATGTTCATCATTTCAGAAGCTAATGATTAGTCTGTTTATGATTAGTCAACAATTGCCCTCTGCTGCCTCCGTTGAGCATATCAATTGGCAGCTTATAAATCAGATATATGAATATAAAACTGATCTTGATGACACCAGATTGCTCGGCTTTTTCCACACAGATGAGAACTCTGGAACTTAATAGCATAATAACATAATTAACATAAGGTCTGTCAGGTTGGTAAAGCACATATAAACGTATATATACAGGTACCCTACACATGCCAACATACATAACATATATTGTATGTATGGACTAGATCAAAAGGGGGTCATACTACGCTGTGTTCTGACATAATCACTTATTTTGAACCTCAGGTCCACGCAGTGTTGATTTATGACTGCTGTGAAATGCAGAAAAGATAAAACATAGTGATTTATGGTGCCAGTATTAAGACTGTCACCTGTTGCAAAACTGCCCTAGTCAAGAATTCCTACAAACTGTTTCATCATATGTTATCAAAGAATTCACTGTGACGGACTCACCAGGTGACTAGGGGGCAAGCAAACACACAAGAAATACCTATCATCAAACAGATCAATCCAAGTCAAACATCCTAATAATACATATAAAATAATATTACATACAGATTTGAACTTGGATGGTAAGCTTATAGTGCCATATTTTTCCTGAGCCATAACTTTTTTCAATTGTGGTGATTTCCAGTGGTGGAATGTAATGAAGAAGGCATAGATTTACTCGAGAGCTGTACTACAGTTCTGAGGTACTTTTACTTTACTTGAGTGTTTCCATTTTGTGCTATATACTTTAACTCACACCACATTTCAGAGAGAAATATACATTTTACTATATTTATCGGACAGCTAGGGTTATAGATTCATATTTGAGATACAAAATATTTTATATTTTTATAAATTACAATGCATTTTTATATGTAATAAACAAGTGGTCCCCTTGTGTTTGGTTGAGGCCCCTTGCCACAGTCTGTGCAACCAAAGAGTGATTCCCCTTTTAAACGTCTACACGCAAAGGTTTGGTTCCACATTCAGACAATCTTGCAAAGCATAAATTTGTGAACACATGAGAAACATTTCTCATTTACACATATCAAGCAAATAGACAGAACAGAAAGGGCTGTTTGTTGTATGAATACCCTGCCCGCCTTCATTGCTTCAATCAACACGGCGTGACTGATGCTGCACTTTATATGCATTTGTTTACAGATGGTGAGAATGTGGTGACAAAGAGATTTGGACAATGGGCTGACAGACAGCAATTTATGGAAATGCTCATTGTGTTTTGGTCAGGTTATAGCTATATCAAAACGTACATCAACCCTATCATCTTTTTATATTTTCACACAACTGTAAAATGTGAGCAGACACAATACCACTGCTAAGTGGTACCATCGGCTCTCTCCCACTCTGCCCTCTTGTGGATGTGTTGGCTCACTGGCGATCAGATGCTAATCTTGGGAAGTTTTTGTTTAAGACCATAAGATGTGTTTTGATTTTAAATCATCAGTGAGTAACATTTAGGAGGATCTATCTGCAGAAATGGAATATAATATTCATAGATATTTTCTTTATGTTGTTGTTACCTCAGAATGAGCTGTTTTTATCTACTTCCACAGAGGCTCCCACATTATCAGTGTTAGTCATGTTCCTGTGTTTGTGAATCAATGAATTAATGAAGTAATGTATTCATATGTGTCACCTCACAGGCTCCCTACCCACAGCTACACATACTGTAGCTCTGCAACATGCAACATGTGTTCATTTACCAACTGTAAGTCATCCGTCAGACACTGAACTTTCTGTGACTGTGTTGTTTTTGAAGGTAAAGAAACAACATGTAGACACAAATACATGTTGTCTTTTATGTAATATTCAAGACACAGTTCAAAGAAATCTGATAACACAGTAATAAACGGCACAATCTTATCTGATCTAAAATAATATACCTAATCTAATGCAATATAATGCCATGTAATATAATCTACCTAATTTCATCTACCAAACATATTGTAATCTAATTTACAATACATCAAAAACGTATTCTAGTCTATCTAATCTAGTCAATTTTATCTGATTTAATCTCATATACCAAATATATTCTAATCTAATCCAATCTAATCTTCAAGCTAACCTATTATAATTTAATCCATATTAATAATTCCATCACATTTACCTAATCTAATATAATGCAATCTAATCTAATTTAATCATATTTTTGGACATTTTAACACAGTCTAGTTTAATTTGATCTAATCATAGATAAATCTAATATTAGGCAGCAAAGTTTGAATAGGTTAGGAGATAATCTGAAGTATATTGTGAGTGTATTTTGTATCAAGTATAATATAAGTATTAAATCAAAACAAAGATACAATTTACAGTACTTCTAAATTTGTTTTAGGCCATAATCTCATAAATTAAAGGTCACTTTCCTTAATTTATTCCCCTTCTAGCGTAGACCTCATGCCGTAATTAGATCAAGATGGAAGTAATTAAGGCCATCGCATAAAACAGAATTTGCATGTCACTTCCTGCAGCAATCATTTTACAGATAAACTCTCAATTATGTGTATTGTAATTATGTACTGATTCCCCAAGTCTCTTCTCAGCTCAGGAGAAAGGACCCTGAGAACTAGTTCCCAACACCATCAATATCCACTAGGAGAACAAAACTCACAAGTACTTTAACAATGAAAAATGACCCTTCAAATGGTAAAAAAATGGGGACGGGGCTTTAAATGAAAATAAACCAATAAACAAAAATAAGCCTGCAGGCAGCAAGGCAAGGAGCCTCTTGAACAAATGACCCTAAAGTCTGCCCTGGTACCGGTACTGAGGGGTTCGACTTTCACTCTGTGCTCAGTTGCAGAATACTCAGACATTTTCAATGAGAAACAAGAAGAGATCTCAGTGGGACATAAAGAACCAGAGTTTCTGGCTGACTGTGTCTGATAAAGTAAATTCTGAGCTGGGTGGGCAGTTCCCCCTCCTCTCTTATGCCTTCAAGAATGGGCGTAGTCACTCCCTGATTGGCCAAGAGGGGAATCACTGAGCTGCATTGTTGAGGAGTCAGTCCCCTCAACCTGAGCAACAAGTGATCTGAATGATCCTCTGACCAACCCGGAGGAATGACGACTATGTGCCAAAATTAATGGGAAACTAAATGAATGAGGGACTGCTACAACTCATGTGAATGTCAGTCTGTTAATCCTGAAAGCAGGCATCAGTATTGATACCAGTATCCAAAAGCATCTCATCGGTTGAACTACATCATTTTACGCCATAAATAAAACCTTAAGAGCTGTATCTCTCAGTTGCAAGCCTGCCACTGTAACTAAAAAGTATCTGATGTAGAAGACAGTAATCAAGACGAGGGTTCATGTGACCTGAGCTTGAAGGTCTTAACTGACTGTTAAAATAACCTTTCAATAACCCGATCGAGGTTTCGTGCTCTCTACATATTTTGCGTGGATTACATTTAATGAATTACTCACACACAGAGTGGGGGAAGACGCAGAGAGTTGACGATGGCTGCATTGTGTACCAGCTGACGTAAAACAAAAGATCGGATTGGATCAGTGAAGTTCAACATATAGCCAATACCGATCAGCCGTGAAAAGCGCCGATATCGATCGTTGAGATCGGATTGGGACATCCATAGACGTCTCATGAATTTAAAACAAGTATATATTTGTTGCATAGTGTGGTATCTGTCTATAAATTTAAATTACAGATTTTTCTTGTGAAAAGTTACAAAATGCTTCAAGTGATAAGAATTCAATATCATAAAATCAGGGATAAAATGTGTCACACAGGATCAAGTTGGTGAAATATAGACGTTTCACAAATTACAAAACCTCTACAGCTATATTCTTAATTAATAAGTCTCCACTGGTTACAAGTTGAGGAAGTGGTATCTAACACAAAGGGATGGAGCAGCGCAATGATTATTGTGGTTATTGGGTCTGTAACTGAGTAATTATAACCAACTCAGACTTACAAGTGTTTTACATTGTTCAAATATATAGCTGTATATTATATAAGAAGGTCTTACTCTGCTCTAATCAACGCTGTTTATACCACACATCCTGTCTGTTCCTGTACTGGATCTATCTCTCGACTTATAGGTACAATGTCAGCTGGGTGTTGACCAGAATGTAAATTGAACCGCCCCGCCCACTTACCGACGTCACCGCCCGTACCCCGGCTGTGATTGGCTGCCGGCTGAGTTACGGTGTTGCGAAAGAAAGCCGACACGTACAGCACGCACGTTGTGTTTGTGTGTGAGCGGAGCGGTTTCACTGAGCCGAGCTCAACCGAGCCGAGCTGAGACAACCGGACTGTGGACTCGAAGAAAGAAGAAGAAGTGGGTGCCAGCGCGCTTGAGCAAAAAAATAATTCACCTTCTATAAAACCCTCAAAGTCTGTTTTATTTATTTTAATGGTTGAACTGACAGCTGAACAACGTTACTCCGATTCATTTTTCCCTCACGTGAACGTGTATTTTTCCGTGTTTGTGTTGTGTGCGCGAGAGCGGATCTGTGACCCTTGCAACTGAAAGTGCAGTTTATTAAACAAGAACAAAAAAACTCAAAAGAGAGGAAGAAATGGAGAAATCAAACGGCTTCTCGTCGGACCGAAACATCCTCTGCCTGTTTGATGTGGACGGTACTCTGACACCACCTAGAGAGGTGAGCCAATCAACCAATACAACCGGCGACGTGTTCGATTGTTGATTACAAGCTTTCATAACAGTTCCCTGCTCCTCTCCTGCTCCTCTCCTGCTCCTCCGCCTTCATTAGCCTCTAAATTGTTTTCAGGGTGGGAGAGAGTATCTGAGAGCACACTGTGTCCTCTTAACCTCATAACACTGGTTTTATATTTGTGAGCTCTTTTCTTCCCCCCTTCACAGACACCAGGGTTACCCGTTACTATTTACCCTGCACAGTGCAGTTGTGACACATGGAGGGGCTGTCTGGTTATGAATAGGTTTGTTGGTGTCTGGCGACCTATTAATGTCCTTCCTAAATACACATGGAAGCTGCCCTGAAGCTGTCACCTCACATGGGCTTTAATAAGTGCAATGTTTCTGAACCTCAGTTTTTAAATTTAGACATTTGTGTAAGGTTTATGAGAGAAATCACCTCTTTTATTATTCATTAGAAGTAATTTTGTCTGTTCCCTTCCTTATGTCATTGGGTTCGAATGCCTGGGTTCATCTAGGGTTACTGTACTGTGTATGTGTGTGTGTGTCTGTGTTTGTCTGTGTTTGTCTGTGTGTGTACAGACCAACGCCCTGATCTCACATAATGCTGTCTTCCTTGTGTGCAGCTCAGACTTTTTCTTCCTTATGTTGAAATAGTTGGAAATCTGTTCCAAATTATGATACCACAAATGCCAATTCTGCATTCCTTTCTATTGTTCTCTTGTCTGTCTATGTCATAATGCTTCAGCAACACATCATTTTAGCTTTTTAATGATGATACATGAAGTGCATTTTTCTGTCATTTGCAGAAGATAGACCCAGAGCTGGACGAGTTCTTTCAGACTCTGCGGAGGAAAGTGAAGATCGGCATTGTAGGAGGGTCGGACTATTCCAAGATAGCCGAGCAACTTGGCGAGGGGGATGATGGTGAGCAGTCCTCTTCCTGTCTTAACCTTCATACACTGTATGCTGTATCATTCATCCAGCTGGATCACACTGCATGACCTCACACTTTTTTATTGTACCTTCTGCTTAATTAGACACACGTCCACAGAGAGTGTAGCAGAGAGGATGGTCCATGGAAATCATTCTGGATTTAGGCCATGAGTTTGACTCATACTTGGTCTTTTGAGTACCTGCTATGCAGCTTAATAAAGAGTAACACAACATCCGTATTACAGCGTTAGAGACCCACTATATAAAAAATGACAACACAAGACTCATCTTTTATCTGTGAAGCAATTCATGAGGCTGAGCTAATAACTGTGTCACGATGACTTTACTGTTTCATTTCAGCTCTTTTTCGAGCCTTTTTGCCCCATTGCTGACAAATGAGCTCTTGTGACGAGTCCAGTAGTTCAGTTTAGTCAACTTTATTAACGTGTGACTCCCAAACCTGTTGCCACACTGGCACAGTGGCCCTCACGCTGCAGCCTTCCAGCTACACTCTATCAGTAAATATTAGACTACAACTGGAATGCAGATGTATTGTGCCAAGAGGGAGCCAGTTGATGACTGTGCCAAGTGTGCTAAAGGTGAATCTTTTCATGCTTCATGATGCACACAGTCGCAGCTGATGTTGTTGCAGCTGCCGGATAATGTGACAAGCTTAAAAATATGTCACTTCAAATGGGTTGAACAGGTAATGAAAGCTGTTCATGTTGTTATTACAGTATGTTCTTACAGTGTTCTTTTACTGATGCTGAAAAAAAATGTTAAAAAGACACCATCAGTTAAAACACACTGTATAAACTAAATATTCACGTAACAGTTATAAGGCCAATAACAGTTAGGGGAACCTTTTTTATCAAGATATCACGCAGTCCCGCAGTTATTATATTGTCATCCTCTACATGGCTTCAGTTTGCTGGATTATGCTATTTTGCAGGTGACTGCTGTGTTAATGAAGTGAAAGTGATCAAAGCAGCTCTTTAAGCAAGCAAAGTTGCAGACTTTCCCTGCCGAGCCTTGGTGGAGTACACACAGGGCAAAGTGAGCGGGAAGGTCAAACAGATTTAACATGACTTTCCAGGTATTGTTACACGCACTATAATCTGCTTCCAGGTAAATATAGCAGGGTGTTCCTCCGTATTCAGGCCTTCATGGATGCGCCACGGCTAATTAAGTGTGTGAGTGAATAGGGTTTAAAGAGTACATTTAGCCACATTTCTCCTGTCTTCTTTCTTGCAGTGATACACAAGTTTGACTATGTATTTGCTGAGAACGGTACAGTGCAGTACAAAGATGGGAGACTCATCTCAAAGCATGTAAGTGAACATACAGTCACATTCTTTATGTTCTGTCGCAATATCAGCTGTTATGAAACATATTATCTGTCTTGAGAACCACACATGCTTGGTGTACTACGTACATGCTTCACATGTTCCTCCTATAGAGTGGATAATCTAATACGAACACAGAGCAGCATGTTAAAATATGTTCATGTAACTATTTCAGAGTAAATTAAGCAAACAAACTGAGTTTTTCTTGTGCAAAAGGTTTGTAGACGAAAAGGACAAAAGAAGTTGAAAATCTAGTAATGAATATGAATCTGTCTAGGTGATCTCTTTTCCTTCATCTTGACCAACCATATTGATACACAGATTTCATCATCCTTTTATCCAGTCATGAATAAAAGTCTGTCAATTTGTTTATGAATGAATTGAAATGTATTTTTCACCCTGTTAGGCCATTCAGAATCAGATTGGGGAGGAGCTGCTGCAGGACTTGATTAACTTCTGCCTCAGCTACATGGGGCTCATCAAGCTGCCAAAGAAAAGGTGAGACTTTGACTAAACTAACAAGACAGTTTGGCCACTTAGACCCCCGAGGGACACGCACACACCTTTGACCTGCATTCCTGGTATTCAGGACTGCCAGTTGTGTTTATTCATTAGCACTGACCTGTTAAAGTAGAAAAGAAATGGGATATCTGTGTAGGAATAAAGCTAAAACACAAGTGGTAACATGTATTTTGCATCTTTTTCTTCTTCATATGCGGGGCAAGTTTGTAGACTATTATGTCAAAAGTCTTTTTAACAAGTAACATATCCTTTAAGCATCCGCTTAGCCATCTTTTTTCTGCCTGCAGGGGAACGTTCATTGAGTTCAGGAATGGAATGCTCAACATTTCCCCGATTGGTCGAAGCTGCACGCTCGAGGAACGAATCGAATTTTCAGAAATCGACAAGGTGAAATACCATTGCTGTTTGTACATGAATGGAACTGGAAATGTTATTTGTCACGTCCTTTCTTTTAACTGTGTCATAAAGACCGAATTCAACAAAACATCTGCAGTGTTTGACAAAGCAGTGACATTCCTGCATTCATACATTCAAACCCTGTAATCAGGTGGTGAGTGGGTTAGCACGTCCTTCTTCTGCTATCTGCACTGCCCTTGTTTGTGAAAGCTAGTCCTGGATTATGGCACAACTATAATAAAAAAATAAAAAAATATATATATAATATATATATATATATATAAATATATAAAAAAAATATATCAAAAACATGAACTTGTGTATAGGTAAAATATTGAACTCATTCACTGGCTGCTTGTAATGTTCAAGCTTATTCTGCTGTTGTACACATAGCAAGTCAGTCTGTATGAGAGCTATTTTGCCTCAATTGCAATTAAATTGAAAGCTATTAGAACTTTATTAATATGCACAGCAGCCAAATCCAACAACTAAGCTAAACAAACTGTATGTTTTAACACATCAGGCGCTGAGAGTCGTGGACCGCCTCTCTGTCTCTCTGTTACATGAAATGCGCTCAATTAAGCAGACAGAAAGAGGTCAAACAATGTTGAGCTTTCAGGACAGCTTAACAGGCTGTCTATTGATGGTTCACAGAGCCGGGCAGCATGGAGGAAGCAGATAGCAGAGGAGGAGAGGTTTAACCCTAGAGTTACTTGCTAACATTTATGCAGCTGGATCTTCTGCTACATTCCTACCTAAACAAATGTAAAGTAAATGTATTTCTACATGATATATGGCATTTAACTTCTTGGAGAACAGAGCAAATAATAGTTATGACCATGGGTAGCCAGATTGTTAAATAATTGTTGTGTGCAGTAACAAGGTTGGCAAAGTCTGACTGCTTTGTCACTTTCTTCACAGAGAGAGAAGATCAGGGAGAAATTTGTTGCTGCCCTGAAAGAGGAGTTTGCTGGGAAGGGACTACGGTTCACAAAAGGTGAGAGAATTGAAAGCCAAAAGCCAACTCACAGAAACAGTTGTTCAAGCCAGGTTGAAGAAAGACCAAAAAGGCAAAATCCAAAGAAAAATCTAATCAGAAATCAAAAGCCATCCTGCAGTGATAAGGTCGACCAACAGTGTTCATGAGTGTCATTTACCGTAAGTCAAAATAACTCAAGCAGTATTTGTCACCAGCAATTTGAGTGTGTAGCTATGGCTGTTTTAAATGTAGCTAGTAAGTAACCAATATCTAATAAGTTTCAAATAACATTTTAGCTTCTCTTTGAGAGAGAAAAATCTTATCTGAATCAAAACATACATGATAGTTTCATACAAGCATGTGTACTCTCAACAAGAACACATCCTGTATTATTCTAGCTACTGACGTTACCTCTGACTGGTCTCAAGGTGTATATTACATTTGGGAAATGGGACATGATGTCTGCAGGAGGTACAACACAGCAGAGCCCGCTGCCACAAATGTATGGGGGGAAAGAAAAAAGAACCAGTGTGCATTTATCAATTAAAAACCCCGGCCACACTGCACACATCTGCAACACATACTTGCTTTTTATTTGGGCGTCAGTGTTAACAGGTTAGAGCAGCCACACTGCCCCTGTGAGCCACAGCCTGTGAATCTCTTGTATCCAATGCGTCACCTCATGTTACCTTACATACATACGTGTTGTCTCTTTGTTTTACCTTAATAGTGTCTTGCTGTTGTTGGGCCTTAACTTCCTGGCTTTCTGTTGTTATATTCCCTCTGAGTGTCTGCTTTTGCTATGCTGTAAAAGCACTATATAAACTCTGTTCTTGAAGATGCTGTATTAATAAAGTTTTAAATGTTTCTTTAAGTGGATCAAAGGAAGTCAAAATGCTGGTTGACATTGTTCTAAGAGAAATGTATTTGTCCTGCAAATCGTTTCATACACATTATTCATAGCAGCCTTGAAGATTGGGACTACCACGAGAATTTAAAATACAGTTCTGAACAGTTTAGTAGTTTGTTACCATGAACCCAATGGTGCGTCTTAGAGGCTTTGTGTTTGGACATTATTAACTCCAGTATACTTTTAGCAACCGCAAATTTGTTTGTATTCCAGGTGAGTGTTCTTTCAGAAAGAAAAACAAGCTCATGTTTACAGATTAATGACTAACCCGTTTTACAGCATGTCTGTCTGTCTGTTGTCTCTTATCTCTGTTAAAAAAAGACCCCTCTACCTCACAGCTATGATGGGTGGAGGACCTTATGTCGGACATTGGAGCCCTCAGTTAACTATCACACACACACACACACACATAAACACATTGTTCCCTCTCTCTCTCTCTCTCTGGCAACACAGCAGCAGTAAGGTTAATCAGGTACTTGTTTGCTTACGTGCTCTGCAGGGTGTGTTCACTTTACTGATTTACTGATGACGCGTGAAGGCTATTTGCAGTTAAGGAAAACAGACAAGACAGTCAGACTTGTTTTCCCTCAGAACTCTTCCTGCAAAACAATCACGAAGAGGAATGTGAGTTTAACATATAGATATCACATTACCTGAAGTAAATGAGTCAACAGCCAGACTTTTGATGGTTATCCTGTCAACCAAAGGTTAACCACATTATTTTCAGCTCCAGATCATTTTCTTAAAGCAGGTTTGACTTTTTCCAGATATTGTGCACACACATAGTAAGGTTGCTGCAGTGGAAAGCAGTTGTGTGTGTTTTGGTGGCGACATCAGGGCCATTTGCAGATGTTTTACTGTTAACTCTGTTGACTGTTAGACAGGAAACAGGCTGATGTATCCGGAGGATGTACAGGGTTTGAGATTCATTTGTTCGCCTTCCCCAGTGTTTCATCTGCTTCTGCATGACTGCCCTTGTTAGATGATACTGCTGCTCTCTGCAATAGGTGTTATATAAACCTGACAGTCTATCCAATCTACACTGAGAGTACAGAATGTAAAGGGACACTCAGTGTTTTCATTTCAGAGACTGATGATCTCAGGTGAAAGCTATTATCCTGTATTGATTTTTGCTTATTAAATGTTAATCACAGAGGAGGACATGTACTTAAAGAGGAGCAAAGCCTTTGAGACTTGTATACCTGCCCTGTAACTATATCAATGTTTAACACTCATATCCTTACTAACCCTTTATTTATTAAGGGGGAGTTGTGTAATTAATTAATCTTACATACCATATCTATGCATGTCAGCACATTGTCATTGCTCAAGAGTGAAAAGGCAGACTAGGGGAGGGGTCGCTACAGATGTGCTAAAGGGGTGTTGGAGATGGAGGCGTGTGGAGGGTGTGTGAGTCAAACAGCCCTCTGATTGGCTGGACACTCCTTAGCTGTTGTCTTTTTTATTGGCTCTTTAAACCCTTCAGCTGGGACAAGGCAGTAAAAAGATTTGAAGGTGGAAAGGGGCGGAGGGAGAGGGAGCAGGCTGAAAGGGAAGTACTGCAGAGAACTTTGGAGGAGACTTTTGAGCTACATTTCACAGTTCAAAGATCACTGCGGTCATTTGACTCTCAGCTGAGCAACAACAGAGATTTCTCTGTGACTTTTTAAAATGAAAAAATAGTCTGTAAAAAATTAATAAGTTGTTATGAGAACCAGAGCAGAACACATTACAATCATGATCGTTTCTCTGAGCTGCAGTCTTAATCACACACATCACAGTCATCTCTGGATTCCTTGAATATAGGAAATTCTGCTGTTGTTTGTTCTGTTCTTGTTTAGTCCATTCCTGGGACACATCCTTTTTCTGTCTCCATGCCAACAAGTTAAATAAGTCAGAACAAACGTGTCTGTCCCTACCGGATAAAGAGCTCAAAAGGCCCCCATCAGTCTCAGCCACTGCTCAGAGTGTAAATAACATTTGTTCTGCAGAGATGGAGTGTAAATATGGGTGGCATATTGCAAGGGAAAATTATTCACCAACAAATTCAGTGTACTGGTTAATAAAAATGATGTAGTCGTAACACAAACTCTGCTTTGTCTGCTCTTTCCTGAAAACAGATCCTCATGGTATTGTTTATCTATTCAAGAAATAATAATAATCATCATTTTGTTTTAGGTGGTCTCATCAGCTTTGACGTTTTTCCAGAGGGCTGGGACAAGAGACTGTGTCTGGATGTGCTGGAGAGTGAAGGCCTGGACACCATTTACTTCTTTGGCAACGAGACCTCAGATGTAAGTTTATCTTACAGTAGAGTTAGACACAGTGCTGATAGAGGAACCTTGTTGTGTATATACACAGCCATATGTGATCATGTGTGAATATCTCATACCAAATCACTGGCATTAAGCTGCCACTAAAACATCCTCCACTCCTCTGGGAAGGCTTTCCATGAGCGGAACCTGGCCGCAGGGATTTGCTCCCATTGAGCCACAAGAACATTAGTGAGGTCAACCTCATGTTTGGTGGCACTCGCAGTCGCCATTCCAGTTCATCCCAAAGGGTCTGGGTGGGGTCGAGGTCAGGGCTCAAGTTCTTCCACACCAAACTCAGAAAGACATTTTTTATGGACCTGGCTTTGTGCACCGGGGCATTGTTTTGTTGACTCAATATTTCTCTTAATTGAAACTAAGGGGTTTTGCAATTTCAGTAAGCTTGTGTGGTCCACTGCTTTGCTGTTGAGTTGTTGTTTCACTTCACAATAACAGCACTTACAGTTGACCAGTGCAAGTCTAGCAAGGTGGAAACTGCACAAAATTATTTATTGAAAAGGTGGCATCAAATGACAGAGATTGCATTGCATGATTTTATGAACCTGCTCACAGAGTGTCAGGCTGTGTACAGAAATAGACCTTTTCTATGTGGACACTTTAGTAGACACTGCTGTGAGCTGCATCTCCTCCCTTACTCTGATCTGCCATAGTATTATAAACTGCAGTGCACTCTGCTGGATAAACGTTGGAGTGACAGCAGTATATTACCACAAGCAGTTTTCATATCAACACACATCGGATAACATATACAGTACGACGATACCGATACAATACTGCATACATAAAACAAAATACAGCAGGCTCAGGGAGAGTTTTTTCCCATCTGCTGTCACCCTGCTAAACTCTGCACCGAGGTGAGCCCCCTTCCCCCTGAATGACTAAACTCCTATTTAAGCCCCCACACCCTAACACATATTTATACACACCTACTGTATATATCTATAGTGCATTCACTTGCCTCTATCTATACTGTACATATCTATATAATAATTACTGTAATACTGTTCATTCTGTACATAGATATAGCGAGAGATATAGAAAGAGATACACATGTCTGTGCTACAGGGAGTACACATGAAAGAGTCAAACTTTTGTTACTGTACAGTAAAGACACTTTACCTCTGTAAGCGTCACAGAATATGCAGATGTTGACAGAAACAGCTGTGGTGTAGCTCTGTAAACACAGTGTTTGTGTCCAGGCTCAGGGGTTAAAGTTTAAAAGTCATGATTGTAGATTAAGAGAGGCTCCACTGAAAGAATGATGATCTGTGTTCATAATTTTGACGATTTTCTTTTTAGGGAGGAAATGACTATGAGATTTTTAACGACCCACGGACCATCGGTTTCACAGTCTACTCTCCGAAGGACACGGCCAGGCTCTGTCGGGAGCTTTTCTTTGATGCTCCACCACACGAATCCTGAAGTCCTGAACTGCTCCCATCAATCCCTTTACCCACAAACCCCTCTGAATTCCTGCCTGTGATTCTCTGTTGGTACGACAACAAGCAACTCGAACCCAGGCTGTTTATGAACTACTGAAAGGTGCCACTACTGATTTCTTCCATATCATGAAGATGGTTGATTACTGTAAATATAAATCGGCAGCAGCGGGGTGATTTGGTTGAATTTGTACAATAAATCCTGCTGCATTTTTTTTTTTTTTAAAAAGGGACAATAACTGATGAAGTTTAAAGTACTGTTTTAAGTAGAAGATGTGTTTGACTGCAGTGTCACACCACTGCTATGTGTAGCATGTAACATAAAACTCCAGATTACGTAGAGTATAGAATGATGTTTTGCACTAATGTTGGTATAATTTTATACCAATCGTTGGTCTTGTTGCACACTGCCAAAGGAAATGATGAGAGTGAGAGAGAGTGATATTTAAAACAAGTGTCCAGTTTGGAAATAAGATAAGAATGAAGCATTAAAAAAGACGTGGGTCTTTCTGTCCTTTGAGGATAAAGAATCATTCCAGGTATTTTAATGTCTCTACAGTACTCTAAAATAGATGTGATTTATTGTTGCTTTACTATGTGATTCCCTGAATGTCAAATGTATGTTTTAACCCCACAAAGCTGCTGGAAATGTAGGAAGTTTGCTTGTGTTGCTTCTCTAGGTCCTTTATGCATTAAATTGAAGATTAATTCAGATTTATATTTAAAACAGAACATTACTGACTCAATGAATTCATCTTAACCAGTGAATTAAGCTACTGTGACCAAGTCATTTTAAAAACCTTTGTCAGTCAATATGACAGCTTTTTATGTAAAATATTTTTACAGTGTGTACCATGGCCTGCACGCTGACTATACGCATTGATGCTTATTGGTCTCTTGTTGCTAAAGGGATTTTTAAAAATAACTTTTAAATGTGAAAACTGACACTTTGATTTTCCCAACAAGTCAATGTTCTGTCCTTCTCTCATGGTTCAAAAACATAACGCCTCCCTGATGGATGTTTATTGTGAATATGAAGCTTTTGATAAATCAGATACATCAGCTGCGGTTCTGTGTCCGACTATAACTCCTTCAACCTCAAAGACTACAAGGATCTTCCAGGCAAGACTTTTATGCACAGACAATGTGCTTTTAATGTATCATGTTGGTCAGTCATTTATGGATGAAAATGTATTTTGCGTCTATTCATTGTAATAAAACTCTTTTGATATCATTTCAATGTCCTCAGCTCTCCAGTGTCGTCAGACTCTTTTTACATATGCACTCACAAACTTGCTCAATAAGAAGCCTGCAGATTCTCTAACGGGTTGCCAGCATGCATTTCTGTCTGCCACAGTGTCTTTTCTAATTCTACCACTGGGAGTCGCCAACCACTCGTGCTGTAAAAGTAAAATATAATCCGATTTGTGGCTGTTTAAAGGTTAGCTTTTGAAGAATGGATAAACACATGTATCACTTATTCCCCTTAACAGTCATCATCCGTCTCTTAATTTTACTCAGCAGTGCCTGACATTAAGTTTTAGCAGACGCTCAATCATCACAGCCTCAGTGTTAAATTGTCTGTAGAAAGATTCACTCGTCCAGAGTAAACTCTTCTAACAATAGTTAACAGAGAAGTAGATTATTACCACTCTAATTTGTTTTTCAAATATTCAACAACAAAGAAAACTCTGTCAACCAGCACTGCAAATTTATGACATTGGTTTCTCTTATTCTGCTTTTTGTCTCCACAGTAACTGGAAACTATATCCTGCAGAAAATACACTCCAGTTAAAAGACTGCTTATGCAGCTTTAAAGGACCAGTGTGAAGGATTTAGTGGCATCTAACAGTAAACACTGCTCGTGTCTGTATTTGACAAACAAACAAAAGCTGTAAAAGTGTGTAGGAGAAACTAAGATGGCTGCGAAACTCATGAAAAAACATTAAGGCCCTGTATACCAGGACGCAACAGGATGATAATGGCTGAACCTGGTTTCAGTGCTTTACAGCATGGCACTTGGTATTCTTGTTTCCCATGAGCTTATCTCTTTTTATTGTTTATTCAATAAACATATCTCTATTGTTGAATTCAATAACATGTATGCCTTTAATAGGAATTTAAAGGAAAAAAACGCTTCAACCTCAACTAAGTTATTAATGCACAGAAATAATTAGGTAATCTGTCAAATGCAGAAAAGTGAGAAGATGTAATATGCTAAATATACCATAAAAAATAAAAAGATTTATATTTGTTCTGAACTGCAACATGTTTCAAGCACGGCACTCCTTAGGCACCATCAAAAATATCATAGTGACGTGTCTCTAGAAATAGAGAAAGACACCGAAGTTACATAATAAATGACGTATTAATCAAATCTTTCTTTTATTTTTTTGCTGTTTTTGTCTTCATAGCTATTTTAGTTTTATCCCCTAATAATCCAGCCCTGAGGTTCATACAGTATTACTGAAGCTGGCATGAATTCCCAGACCAACTCTCAGTGAGTGACCAGAGACCTCTGAATTACCACCCACATCTCTGATTTATTCAGAAATTCTAATATAAGTTGCATAAAATGTAATGCATTGAAATAAATGAACGATGTGAAACAAAATGCCAATTCCGTCTGATTATAAGGCTTTGACAGGACAAAATCAAACCTGTGACCCCTTCATTATGGAACTGTCTCTTCCACCACATTTTTATACCGTTCTTCTTCTTCCTCCCTCAGTCGCACTTGCACACAGGCAACTAAAGAAACACAGCTTCAATCAGACCTGTGAATCAGAAAATGCTTTAATGTTCTTTCAAGGCTCAGTAGAAGTATTCATGTGGATCACCGCCACAATGGCTCATCTACAAAAGAAAGTGCCCTTTGATGTGACAGAAATAAACGAAATATAATTTTAAATAAATTCAGGCAGTGACACTGACAGAGAGATGAGATGCATAGAGACCATATAGAACAGATATAATAGAAAATGACATACAGTACAGTACATAACTGAGAAAAACAATGATCTCAAAATGATCTCTATTGGCACAAACTATGAAATCATGTAGTTCACCATCACACTGACTACGCTCAATAAATCACACACAGACACAGGTTTTTCTAATAATAGAAAAAGATATTTAGAAATAGTTTTTTTTTATCAGAAATCCATGGCTCCAGACGCTTTCAATACAGGAACTGTCGAACAGAACAACACATTGATAAATACCCAACAGCGATGTCTGGAATTCTGTGGCAGTTTTAATAGTGAAAGTTAAATGTTTAAGTGCAATTTTTGACTCTATAACCCAAAATATAGAGCTTGCTATCTGAGGACACACACAGAACTGAAAAAAAATCATCAAATAAATAATTAAAATAAATAACCACAAACAATTCCAACCAAGACCAAGGATATGCCTTTTTCAGGAAAATCACTTTCCATTCACCATAAAATATATAGTTATTATGTTTTTTGAAGTGTTCTTCAATGTGATCTGCCTGCTTTACTCCTGGTCTCCCTTCATGCTTTTTCTGTCTAAGACAAACTGAATTCCTAACTTTCAATTTACTCTCACTTAAACCTTCAGTTCCTCTCTCCATTTCAAAATAAAACTAACTTCCTCTTTTTTTGTTCCCTAAGGTCATGTTTCTAAACCTGTGACCCTCCTCAAGGGTCATGAGACGTCAACACTGCAAACATAGAATAATTTATATAATTTTTTTTTTATAATTGTATAGATTCAATTTCATTTGATTTCATTTCAATGCAAAAGCTGCTGTGATTAAATGCTCTAAGGATTGTTAACCTGCCATTTCAACTTTCTTTCACTCAGCAACACAGTCACTCAAATCTCCTCAACTTCAGGCCCCTAAACTACTTGCTTTTACATCCATAATCTGACGTTAAATTTGAAGATTCTTATCATCTTATTTCTGCAGTTGATGTAAAAGCAGATGATAACATGATAAGTCATCTGAGCCACAACATGTGATCCTGGAAACTTTGGTGAAGTAAACAAGTGCATAACAGCTGCACAGAAGGGAAGTAAAACTGAATTCAACCTTTTGTCCTTTAGTCGCTCTCTTTCTTGTACATACACTCAGCTGTCTGCAGATCTGAACCACAGTCATGTATACAGTTTTCCCAATACTTTCTTAAACAGCTGATCTCTATGAAAAATGAGACCCACAAGTTCTTCCCCGTAAAATTCTCCTCCCATCTTATTTACTGCTGTCATGACAAAAATATAAATAAATAAAACAAATGTGTTTTTGTCCTAACAATGAATAAATTGTCAGTTTAACATACACAGCAAATTCAGTTTTTAACAGAGTAAATCGTCTCTCTGAGCAGACTAACTGCCAACTACAACTGAACTATTGACACTTGTTAACGCTGGACATTGCTGTGTAGGTCAAACCTTTTTTTTTTTTAAAGGAAAAGGATTTCAGCTTAAGTTATTAGTCCCACAACCGGTCCACCCCCCCAACCCTGCCCAGCGCGACCCACCAGGCTCCCGGAGCTCAGGTCTACGAGCTGATGATCTGCCCAGACCAGGTCTCGTGTTTTGTCACTGGGTTGAGATGTGTGATCTTCACCTCCACTGCCTGCACCTTCAGGTTCTTGGGCGGGACCCGGCTCACTTTGTACGTGACCTCATCGCCCTCGACTGGGACATACTCCCCCTCGATGCTGAAACAGAGAAAAATTAGGACAATGAGTGAATATGAGGTGTTTTGTGCAAACACAAGAGCTACCATCACAAATTAAAAACAGCCTACATAACAGTTACAAAATATATACAACCTTTATTTTTTCACTATCATGCTGCAGATATGTGTTAAAACATAGGTAGTGACAGGAGATTACTTTTTTCTTATGATTTATACACTTATTTCTAATTAAACTTCCTATAAACTGTACAATGGGGATGTGTCGTTCGGGAAAGAGTCTGCTCCTTTGAGTGAACGATGAGAGCCAGGTGAGACTTTTTTTTTTCTTTGTTTTTAAAAATGAAATGAATTCAGAATAATATGATGATCCTATAGCATATTTGTTAAATACAGTGCAGAACTGGCACAACATACAAAACAGAATTTAAGATATATAAATCAATAAATGTGTAAAAGGGATGATTTTACATTATTTAGGGTCTTTATACCAAGCATAGTGCAAAATTATGGTATTCTGAAAATTAATGTTTAGTATAATTACACTGATTAATTAAGCCAGAAGTGGTACTAAATGAAAAGCTGTTTGGTGGCCAAAATTGCTGAGTGGAGCCAAAGGTTCAGGCACTAAAAATCAGTACTGCACAATGATTAGGATTGAGTGACTACTTGGCTGAAACGAATATCCGGTACAGATGATGTACTTTAGAATCATCAGAGTAAAATGTGTCAATCTGTACTTACACCTACTTATACTTATATAACTTATAACGTGTTCTATAAAAAGATCTCTTTCTATTGTAACCAAAAACTAAAAATATTTTTTTAAATAAATATAGCAACTTCTGATCAACCCACATCAATTTCAGTCTTAAATGAACAACTTCCGGCTAGTCTTACCCACAGCAGATTTAAACACCACCCACATCCGGGTTAAACCACTGCCTGTTTTGAGTACAGCTAAGAATACCGATAATTTAGTTGGTTGAACAGATACAGATACAGATATGTACTCATTCACCCCTAACAATAGTAAATAGTGAACTAAAAATTTTACTATTTTTTCCATTTTTATGTTATTTAATTTAATCAAATAAGGGAACACAGAAATTGGAGGAAAAGCAACAAAAAGGCACAATAATATATATATTGACCGATAAATCTGCTCATTACCCTGCAGAGTCATTCGTAGACTCCCTGAGGTTGCCTCAGTACCCAAATCCCAGAACCACCATCCAAATCATTCACTTTCTTGCTGAGAGTGAGATGAAAACATTGATATCTGTCTCATGTCTGTGCATTAAGTATGGAAGCCAGGAGGCAATTAGCTTAGCTTAGCAAGACAGGCGGAAACAACCAGTCTGGCTCTGTCCAAAGATAAAAGATCTAAGCAGACTTCTACAGCTTACATTATATTTGACACAATTTTCTGGCAAACAGTGACCAGGCACAGTGAATTCCTGACTTTCAACAAGCAGAGCCTCAAGGAGGTCACCATGACCAGCTCCTGTTTGACAAAGAAAGTGGTACAGCAAATAACTCCTTATAAAATCATAACTTGTCGTTATTAAATTTCTGTGTACCAACCAACTGTGAATCTATCCTGAAGTCACACATTGGTTTGTTGAGTACTGTTTTGAAGCCTCGAGTTTGGTATTATGGCCATCGCCATGTTTTTGCAGCCAGCGGTGGCGACGCACTGCGAGTTGATCTGCGCTCATTGGCTGCGCTTGGTTTGCCTGGTCACACATGTTCTTGTATTACAGATAAAGAACACTAAAAGTTGTTTCTAAAAAGATATTAAGCGAGAAATATGTAATGCACTAACCAAATCTTGATGTATATTTGATCAGCACTGACTAGTTTGACTGTTTGATCTGAGTTTCATCCAGTGCGCTGGACAGACTTACTGAGGATGTCAATCACAAGTCATCTATTTTAGGCTAAGACTCAATACTATTTGACTATTTGACTTCTCTTGTGAAGCCCATGGAGCTGCCCCCTGCTGGCCATTAGAAAGAATGGTTTAAGACACTTACGCATAGGCTTCACTTCACAGACCAGGAAGCTCTGTCCACTAATTATATACTGTCAATGTTACCGGCTCGACATGCTAGCAGTTTCCTTCTTCTTCTATCTTCTATGGTACGCTTACATTAAGCTAATAATCACCTCACTGCTTCAGCTTCATATTTAACACGGACTCGTGAGTCAAATTATTCTCTTAAAGGAATAGTTCACTTCACAGAGTGTGGTCACACACAGATTATAGAAGCAAATACAGATATCTGCTGGAGCTCTGATAATGAGAACATTAGAGACAAGAAAAATGTTGGACTTTCAGACCCACAATTCAGATGTTTGGCAATAAGATAACGGGATCATCGTGCATAATCTGTTTGGAAGAATTTTACAAGCTTTTGCTGAGTCACATACATAGTGACATACTGCTTGTCCTAAATAAAAAGGTAGAATAAAACTAACACAGTGAAGTTGCTGTACTCTCTGTGCATCTCCACTTATTACAGGTGTCACAGTATCCTAGGAGAGTTGAGAAAAATAGCTTTCCCTTTGAAAAAAGCACACACTTAAACAATGTCGTTTGCTGAGTTCTCAAAGTCCTATGAGTTGACACTGCAGTTCTGCAGTAGGTTTGTGTTACTGTTTGTAATTCAGCTAATGCACCACACGTTTGTCTGCTGTGAGTCTTCGAAGAGTGTTCAGTCTTCAGCCACTCACTCTGAGATGTGAACAAAGATGTCTTCGCCGCCGTGGGAGGGTCGGATGAAGCCGTGACCTTGTGACCTCGAGAAGTCTTTACACACACCCTTAAACACCGGACCTGAGTGTGCACGCACCGTACTGCAGACAAAGAGAGAAAAACAAAGAAGTTCTTACCATGAAATGACTCATCTCAGTAAGACTTACTGTAATATTGTTTCAGTAAGACGTGAATGAGCAGTTTAGAAGAATATTTCATTTAAGTGACACAATTCAGGGTTAAGGGCTTTTATGGGTTTTTTTATGATAAGTGTGATGATAGAGAGGAGGATTTATAAAGGAGGTGAAAAGGAAGATGAAGATCAGTTCACATCAACACCTACACATTGCCTCATAATGTCACAACACAACGGCAGCAGAGATGAGAACACTAAGCTGCTGACTCACAGTGTAAACAGTACAGTATTCAACTTCTCTTCAGTACCAACCTCGGTCTGCAAACCAGTGTTTATACATCATTACCTAAGGCTTTAAAGATCAGTTATTACCCAGCTTTGGTTTGCCTGCTAGAGGGGTTTTCTACAATCTCGCACCAAAGGTTGTTCTTATTATTTGCTTATAAATCATCTCAAAAGCTTTAGTAAATTATTTATTATTCATTAATAAATTAGCCTTCAGTTAGCCTGCAAAAAGGCTGCCTTATTAAAAAGCGGTACTGATGAATATAGTGGAGTAAAAATATTTTTTTTGCTGTGACATGTAGTGTAAAGTAACACGAAATGGAACAACTCAAATAAGATTTTACATTATTTAAAAAAATGTCTACTTTCCACCACTCACTAATTGGTAAATAAACTAATTATACTCACGCTGAGTAGGTGCGGGTGCGTTTGGTTGGCAGCGGGCTGGGCAGATCCCTAGGCAGTGGCATTTCCTTCCCTTCCTCCCATACCCGGCTCCTCTCCCTCAGGAAAGGGAAGGAGAGGGTGAGAGAGGCGTTGGGGGAGCGCAGCGGCGTCCCAGAGGGCGACGTGAGGCTGGGGTCTGCCATGTCAGATGTGAAAAGAGGAGGTAGATGGGAGTGGATGGTGTGGATGCAGTATTGGACGCTGCTTCTACCCCTCGAGCCGCAGGCTGCTGATGGGCTGCTGACACCGTTGTATGACCGCTGGTGTAAGTGTGAGTCCGTCTGCTCAGAAAGGCCTACCTCAGTGTGGGGACACGGACTCAGCGGATATATTCAGGTCAGCTCTGTCGCTTCAAGTCTGTCAGGAGGACTTGCTGTGAGGAGAGAGACCACAGGGAGAGAATGGAGGAGGATCAGAGAGTTATCATGTGGCTTTAGAACTGATGGAGGAAAGGAGAGATGAGACGGGTTAGCCAACCAAGAATAAGCCTGTTCAAGTCAGAAACCATGCAAAATCTTTATAGTGTTCTTCCCTTGTGAATACATATTTTAGCATTTTGTCAAATTTATGTTATTTGATCAAATTTCTTCGAAGAATAAACTAAATGATGAGCTGACATAGCGTATAAGTAGTGTGTGTCAAGTACTTTAAATCAAATAATGTTGAAGGGGTACTCCGATGATATAGTATTGTGTGTTCATAAAAAGCTGGGGGACATGCTTAGAGATGGATTTTAAAAAAGAATGATCAAAATCGATGCAGCAGAGGCCAAGATACCCTGACATTTAGTTATGGGTCCAAAAACAGTGGATCCTTCTCGCCCCATTGTGCAGTAGCATGTTTTCATCAGAACCTCCTGGTTTAACTCCACACCTCTAGTTTGTAACAAACAAAAAAAGCCAAAAACAAAACAACAACACACAAATCTAGCCCCAAATTTTATTTTTTCACCTGAAGCCTTTGGTATTTCCACTTTGGCTCAGTTGGTAGCAAGCTGCATTCCAGTGCAATCCCACATGATTATACTGCAGGGGTTTATCTCTGAACCTACCCAAAGTATAGTATTAATAAATATGGAGATTAATCTTTCATATCTACTTGATGTGCATTACAACTGCACATCCTAATACAGAGCGCTATCATTGTACAGTCTATATTCAATGCTCCGAAGTCCCATCTCTATTCTGTTTTTATTTTGTTCTAGTTATTGAATTAATGAATCCACCTATGTTTTTCATAAATCACTCATGCTAAAATATACAATATATCTTGTTTAGTCAGGTGACCTTGTCCTTCAATACCCACTAATAACTATATATATAACTAACTAAGGGGACAACTAACTGATCTCCTGTCAGTATTCAAGGATGAACTCATCCCAGAAACACCATTAACACAACAACACTCCTGTCGTTTGATATATGTATAGGTCTATGTGTGTGTGTGTGTGTGTGTGTGTGCGCATAGGATGTTTTTTTACGCCCACTCCTCCTCTGCCTGTGATGATGCAGGCAGAGATAGAGCTCCGCACGCGGCGTGACGTCAGAACAGCTGCAGAACGCCGCCTCCAGTGGTGCGTCCGTGACGTCAGTGCCCATTCCCAAATTAACAATTACATCAACAAAGGTAACATCTGCACAATTGCACATCATACAGCAGCACCACACACACACTGTGATAGCGTTACCACAGGATACCTTACATTGACACACAGTGTTGAATAATGTGCTGTTACATTATTAATAATTATGGTAATAACGATCATCATGATGGGAACCCACTGTACTGTGAATGGACTCAGAGTTTACATTACACAGACAGCAGCTGGAGAACATCTGGATGTGCAGAAATGAAGCAACAGAATTAAAAGGGGGTCATGACTCTTCTGGATCGGGTCGGGGACAAATCTCTGGCTACGGCTAATGTGTCTCTGGATTGTGATTGTGTGTGTGTGTGTGTGTGTGTGTGTGTGTGTGGAGTTTGTCTCGAGAGTTGAATTTATTCACTTTCCCCACAGAACCTAACCATAAAATCCGATATTTTATCTCATTGCTTCCCACCTGTTTTTATTTCTGCCAACAGCAGTCTCTCAAACAAAAAGGTGTGAAAGGTGGAAAAAGACAATATAAGACAGTATAACTTGGACAAAAGCAGGGTGAGAGGTCCGTTCATAAAGACCAGGTGGCGGTCAAATATGGTGGTAACGGTACATCGGTCAGTTCTCCATATAACCAGATACATATTTAATATGTAATAAAAATATATCTCCCTTCTATTTAGCGGTTACTCTGTCAAGCATGCACAGAATACATTGTCCCGACCCCAAAAACAAAGCCACACTGACACACTCCCCTCTGCAGCCACTTCAACATGCATATATTGGCAGAAATGTTACTTACTGCATTGGGTGCGCTAGTAGGTTGAGGACGATCAGTGTGTGCGAGTGTGTCTTTTAAGTCGGTGTGTATTATATAACGAGTAATTAAATAAATAATTCGACTAAATCCGCGCAGACCGTCGGAAAACCCTGATGTGACGGTGTGAGTGCTGCTGAGTCTGCGCAGCTGGCGGAGATTCCGATGGCGTGATGCGACTCTGTGTGTGTGTGTGCGCAAAAAATGACCATCTTCATTCCTTGTTATGTATGTAATCTTTGGATGAACAGTGTGCTCAGTGTACTGAGATATTCTTTGTCTTTCACATGATTTTATGTTTATCATATTGCGCTCTGGATGCAGATGTTTTATTATAGAGGATGTGTTTATATATAAGACTGGAGCCCAGTAGTGCAATGGGTTTTACATATTACACATTTATCTTTTATCACATACATGTCAGTAAAAACCATTATATTGCCTAAAATCAGAGACGCATGTGCATGTTCACGTTATATATATGAAATTTCCATGTCTGCAGTAATAGTTTGAATTATGGTAAATAATTTCATCCTGTTCTTAAGCTAAGCTTTCTGTAGCTTTCAGGGGTCACATGCAAACAATCTATTTTTCTTCTTGAAACTCTCTAAAGTCTGACCCAGTTTCACAACAGACAACCGAGACTAACATCAACTGGCCATGCAGTTGTCACATGAAACACAGCCCACTGCATTTCTGATTGTACAACAAACAAGTTTATGTGTGTGAGTTGCAAACTAACACTGACCAACAGTATCAGAGAATATCTGTTAAACTAAACAAGCAGGACTGTGTCCTTCACCGCCCTTCAAACTGCAGGATTTAAAAGCTGCTCTCTAATCCTTTTTTATGTACTTTCTATAATCACACAAAATGACAAATTCCCAAATCACAACCGCTCACACTGATGATACACCCTTTTACTGAGAGACAAAACAGAAATACAAAAAATTACAAGGCTGTAAAATATTCTGTGCATGAGTGCACAAAAATCTGCAGTAGAGGTACAATTTCTAATAAAAAGTACATCTTTTAAAAAGGTCCAGTGTGTAACATTTAGGAGGCTCTTTTGGCAGAAATGGTATGTTTTTATCAGTGTATAATCACCTGAAAAAAATATGAATCTTTGGGTTTTTGTTACCTCAGAATGAACCGTTTTTATTTACAGACACTACGAATCACCCGTCATGGAGTCCGCCATTTTGAACTGCCACATTTCTACAGTAGCACAGACGAGAAAGAAGAGACAAACCAAACACTGGCTCTAGATAGGGCTGTTCACACGTTTTGTGGCCACTGTAGTTTCTCCCTCGCGCTTGGAAAGGTAGGGTGAAGCGATGGATTTCCTATCTGCAACCACACCGCTAGATGCCACTAAATCCTACACACTGGATCGTTGAAAAAAATATTTTTTATATTCAATTATATATTTATGTAGGTCCAAACAGCGTTACCTTTGTTTAAATCTTGATCTCTGATCCACAGGTCAGTTTATATCAACAGAAGTCACTCGGCCGTATTTATCTCACCTCAAAACAAAAGCGTGTCGGCACACTGGGATCACATTTATCCATGCTTGCTGTTCAGTTTTCAGCTCAGTTTCAAACAGCACCTACTTTATGACCTGTGAATGTCTGACTATCATTATAAAGTAGTGATGACAATTGGGGGTCAAAATCTTGTGGAATATACCAAACGAAATGTCCATCAATCATTTTGTCATTAAATACATGGCAAACTCTACATATAAACATGAAGCTGGTATGTTAAGGGCAGTGTTTACCACACAGTCAGTATCAGTGTGACAGACTTTACATCAGTCACTTTACACCGACACTATCTTGGTTCAGAAAGCGGTTTGACTTTTGTCTTGACTTCTGCACCCAAACAACAGGGTTCAGTGTCTCCAGCCGACCGTCCTTCGTCAGTCCAAACGGTCATGACGGTTGATCTGTTCGCAACTTCCAAATATCGTCCTCGTCCTCTGCAGTGCTAACTGTTCCACCATGACAGCAACCCTAGGCCCGGCTCACAGATGGTCCCCTGAAACAAAAGCGCAATGGGTCAGGATGGATGTGAAGCTACTTTTGTTTAATTTTTGTGTTTTAGAATTATTTTGATAAATTAGTCTTATTCTCAGAACTGTGTGGGCATGTAAAGCTCCCTGACTCTTACTTTTGTTACATCTCTTAGGGCCAGACAACTTTATACAATATCAATAAATACAAAGTAAGTCGTTGTGTGTCTTGAGGAAAAAACTGGAGGGTCCAAATTGCACAAAGCAATCATATTAATTATTTTGTTTTATAAGCAAGCTCTGCAGGAATATAAACAGTTGCACAACTGGACCTGATAATATATTAGTCAAAATATACATACACAGACACACACAACAGCATTAGAAACATTTGAGAATATGTCCTGCTGATGTAAATGTGTTTTAGCCATTAAGTGTGTTCTTACAATCAGAGTGTACGGTGCCTCTTTCTTCTCCCCACTGTCCTCTGTGGGTGGCGCCGTCGACTGTCCCGGTTGTGCCGGTGCGTCTGTTGCTGCGGTGGCTGGGCCCGTTGGCGACGTATCCACAAAGACTTCATCTGTCACCCGAAAACGGATCTCCTCTCCTTGGTCCATGTAGAGGTCATGGGCCCCCTCGTCCGTCTCATATTCCCAAAGCCAAACTTGCTCTGCTTCATCACTGAGGCTGTAGCTAAGGATGGCTCAACAGTTACATGATCAATCTCAGATCAGAATTCAAATAATATGTAATTCACAATTTGTTTTTCAATGCAAAGATGAAATGACAGCGCTTTACTTCAGTTATTGGAACATTTTCAGTCAGGATACAATTTTGCAGGCTGTTGAAGTGACTCTGGGGGAATGAGAATGTCATCAAAGAAGCCCATCGTCACTGTGAGAGAGAAAGGAGTGTGCAGTCGGCGTTTACAACAGTACTCCTATATCATCTGCTATGGGTGAAAGCAGGGACATGTGAGCCTTCAGGCCGAGTACAGGCTGTTGAATGTTTTCTCATTTTAAGCACAATTCGGACTTTGTGGTGAAGTTTAACTAGTTTTTTCTATATACACAAGATCTTGTTACAATTCCAGCATTCAAGTTACATTACATACAAACTGAAAACACAAATAAATCTGATCTATTTGAATGTACTGCAACTTCATAATAAAACACACTAGAAGCTGAAAACATAAGTCAGGAATATGTGATACAAATGATCACTTATACTTTCCTCAATGATAAGCCAGATGTGACTCAGCTAATTAACAACAAATGAAAACCAGTGTGGACGGCAAGTGGAGGACAGCTACGTGTGACTCTGGTACCAGAGATATGACAAAGTGCAACATGAACAGGCAGCGGACCAAATAACTAGAGACTTCTCAGATCCTAATCACACAATTAGTGATTTATTTTAACTCATAAGTACACAGGTCAAGATTAAAGTTGTGTAGACAGGACTACTGAATGAATAAAAAATGGTAGTAATTAATAAGGCTGACTAATTACAATAGAATTAATTGTCACACACATTTCTAAAATTTACTATAATCTCTTCTTTATAGAGATGTACTTTCTATCTATCTATCTATCTGAAATGCTAAGCATTTCCTATTTCCAGTTTATCCAGCTTATGTTGGTCCAGACAAAAAAAGACATTTGAATATGTCACCTTGAGCACTTAATGCCCATCATTTGGACATTTAAAAGCGCATTTAGGACATTTAGTTGCTGTCCTTCCTTTTTTTCCCTGTTTAGTGCATTGAGAATACATCTACTGATACATTTCTGGAGATTAAATTAAATGGGATGAAAACAGAAAGACAAAAGTTACCATGAACTCCCTCTTGGCTGCAGTACTTGATCTTGCCGACGAGGATCTCTTCGAGAAATGGATGAAAAACCACATACCTGAAATGAACTGACAGAAGGACCAAAGGGATGAGAACGAATCAGTGGGTGAGAGTTAGGTGAGCCAGTCCATCAACGCCCACAATTTGAATGTACTACAAGGAGTTTTTAAC